TGGATATTCAAATAATCTAAAAACAGTTTATACAACATTGGTAATTCTTGGAAATTTTTATTACAAGTCACGCGGTGCTTAAACCGAACAAATATGTTGCCCCGGTTAATCCGAAATCCACGTGATCGCCTTTACAGCACAGCAGTTGCAATGTCTTTACAACAGTGGGCAGAGTTTAATTGATTTTGTTGTCGTGGCTCTGCTGTCAAATGAGCCGACTCTTCTGCGCGGAAGCAGGAAAGTCTTATCACAGGAACATGGTTATAGGCACAAAGCATTGAAGAATTGAGACTCATCCACAAGGGCGCAGTGGTAGCTAGGAGATGTTAACGACCTCACCTGGTATGCAGGAGGTCATGGGCTCGATCCCAACCCTGACACCTGCTGCTGCCTATTTGGAGTTTGCGTGTCTCTCTCTCTCTCTCTCCCCCCATGGTCGCGTGGATTTTTCTCCGGGACCTCCGGTTTCTCCCCTACACATTTAGAATACAGGTCACGTGTAAAGGTATTCGGCAAATATAAATGTCCACGCGACGATGGTGAGCCCACTTCGTTGAGCTATGTCGCTGCTTTGTGTGATGGAGAGGGTCGGCATCTGAAACAAATAGCTATGTCATCGCAGCTCAGTTGGGCCCTCACCAGGTTAAGAATAATTGTTTAGCACAGGGTGCTTAAAAAAAATGTTCACACTTATTTGGGACAATTGTTTTTAATTGAACAAAAATATGACCACAAATGTATGCCAATAGAGTCACAAAGTCAGAGAGTCTCCACTTGTTCGCCATCGTTTTCGAAACATGCCTGGAATCCTCTCCAGATGGTACCCAGAGCCCGGAGGCACATTCCTTTGTGGCATTGTTGCAAATTTTCAGAAGCACCCTGCATTAGTTTTAGGAAGGACCCAGCCTTGCCCCAAACGAGCGTCAGGACGTTACCGGCGCCCTCGCTGGCGTCACCCACCGTGAAAGCGCAGGCAGGGAAGTGCCTGGCGTGCTCCCGAGCGGGGTCGTCTCCCGCCTCCCAGTGATGCATCGTCCCGCCGCAGTGGAAACAGGCCACCAGGTCGCTGGGTCCCATGCGGTAGAGTCCGGCCCGCGCCAAGCCCGCGGGCCATACGGGGGACGACTCAGGCCACCCCTCGGAGAACAACAGCAGCCTGGCCGCTTCGGCGTGCATCTCCGAGGCCAACGGTCGCGGGATCCAGTCGAAGTGGGACGTCGGAGGAGCGGAGCGTCTCCCCGCCAACGCTCTGCGAAAGGCCCGATTGTCTACGATGTGCGACATCGACCGGGCGAGAAAATACGGGGCAATTTGGGGGAAAAGAAGTCGTCGTGCGAATGCTTTTGCAATGGACAAGTCCGCCCGGGCTCTCTTGTTAAAGATCACTCGAGAAACGTCGTGCCTTCTCCTTTCCGACGTAAAAGAGATCCCGGGGCTCGCAGCTCGTAGCTCGATGGGTAGTTTAAAAACCGGCGATGGGAAATGGCACGACTCCTGTTGTCACCCTTGACAGCTCCTGAATACGGGAAAAAAATGTTGGGCGGCAAGCATCATTAAAAGCGGACACCTTTTAGTGACTTGAAATGTTTGGTTAAAACAATTAATCCATAACAGAGGTTTTTTGGGGGTTAGATCGCGTAAATATATTAATGTTAAACCCGCCACCAACCTCTATTATGGATGATATTTATCGCCAAAGCCTACGTGTTAAAAATTAAACAGTTCAGTCTGTCACTTCTGACAAACGTCTGCACAGCAATAAACGGGGGCACGCACAGTCTGGAAGGTCCTGTACCAAACGGAGTTTCGAGGGTTATCTGGTGTGAGAAAAACCAACACTACCCATAGACTCAACACTGCACCATAGACTCAGCACTGCCCATAGACTGAACACTGCCCATAGACTCAACACTGCACCAGACTCAACACTGCACCATAGACTCAGCACTGCACCATAGATTCAACACTGCACCATAGATTCAACACTGCACCATAGATTCAACACTGCCCCATAGATTCAACACTGCACCATAGACTCAACACTGCCCATAGACTCAGCACTGCACCATAGACTCAACACTACACATAGACTCAGCACTGCACCATAGACTCAACACTACACCATAGACTCAACACTGCACAATAGACTCAACACTGCACCTGCAAATCATCTGCAAATCACGGACTGGATGTTAGAGGACATTCTTTACCTCACGTTTTCTCTCAAAAGTGGTGACCTCACACTCCTAGCGGGTCGTCGTCCTCGTTAATTGATCAACAAAAATCAATTTTCCGGCGTCTGCACCCCCCTCTCGAATTAAAAAATGGCGGTGGGTGAAGGGGAGGAGCCAAAACTAATTGGCGGGAAAAAAACTTCGCGTCACGTGGGAAGGGAGACGCCAAATCTGATTGGCTCTGAGGCGGAGCGACTTTGAGGAAAACTTTTTTTTAAAGTACGAAATTACAAAACTCAACATCAACAATAAAACTCGCGTTGGCATTCGCGCGTTGTAAATAAATGTAAAAAAATAAAAGTTTTATTGTTGACGTACCATATTTAAATAAAATGTTTTTTTACTCAAACGCGATTCCGTTGTTTCGTTTCCTTCTCGTCCTGAATCGTGTCGAGCTATGATTACGAAACGCGAATCGTGGTCCGCGTTTGCTGAGCCAATAGGAGCGCAACGCTGCTGAAGGCAGGGTCCAATAGGAGAAGGCGATGGTGGGAGGTGGCCGGGTGCCGCTTGGACCAATCAGTGAGTAGGACGTTCAATGTTTCCCGCTCTTTCGGGTTTTTTTTTAAATCACAAAACAATATTTAAACCCCGGGGTAAAAGTTATGGAGAGCATTGTTTCGATAAGTGTGTAGTCGGCAAAGTTTGCACGTAAATTATATTTAAACAGAGGAGCAATAACAATAATATAACTCCACCAATATTATCCCAATGGTAATCGATTCCATCAGCTATAATCACTACCACCATCTCGATTCCCGCTTTATCCCCCCCCCATTGAAAATCGATTCCACGAGCTTCATTCACCAACAATCGATTCCCATGTTATCAACAACGGGAATCGACTCCATCTAAAACGTCGGAAGCCGCAACGGGAATCGACTCCATTTAAAACTTCGGAAGCCGCAACGGGAATCGACTCCATCTGAACGTCGGAAGCCGCAACGGGAATCGACTCCATCTGATCTTCGGAAGCCGCAACGGGAATCGACTCCATGTTATTTTTTAACAATAATGTCTAAGAGTGTTATTCTATTACAACGTTGCTTTTCTTCATAACCACAATCATATAAACAGAAATCTATGCATTGTTACATGAAGACAAGTCCACATATTGTGGCCAAGGTTTATAAAATTGTTATTTTTATTTACATAGCACAGCAATTATTATTGTTTAAATATTTTGAATAGCAATATATTGGAGGGGCATTTTGAGCAATATTTTTTTTTGGGGGAAATCTATTTTTATTCTTCTACAAGCCGCCACAACATGTACACTTAGCCAGCTCTTACAATGAACAATACTTCAATGGTACACGTTGAAACTTAAGCCTAAGGTGTTTCTCCCCTCTGAGAAACACTTTCAAGGTCCCTCTTGTCATTTCAATATATCGTTGATACTCCGCCCATCTCATTCCACCAATGGATGAAGGCTTCCCCAACTCCATGGCGGTAATGGGGAGGAGGTTGTTTGACCATACTTCACCACTGCGGGTCATGTACAAAGCTTCATTTCAGCCAGATCTGTCCCCAAGTCGGCTGGGCACGCCGCATCCGCCACTCTTGTCACCCACAGCTGTGACCACGAGCCACGAGCCTACTCCAGTCCACCAGAGACACAGAGAATATTCTTCAGCGAGATGCTCTTTGGTCCTTTCAGGTTAAAGTCATCGCGTGGTAGGTACAAAATAAAATAAATCACGACGTTTCGGGCGCAACACAAGCTAAATTTTTATTTAAAGCTTTCGTGAGTGCAGTAATTTATATTCAATATATAAAAAATATATAAAACGTCGTGAGAATTTTTATTGTTTTATATATTTATTATTGTATTGTTTCCCTTCAACTTGACTTTACCGAAAGAGCTAAGAATATAAGGGACAAGTCCTTAGTAACAACTCCTTACGAACAACTCCCTACTTACTAACAACTCCCTACTAACAACTCCTTACATACTAACAACTCCCTACTTACTAACAACTCCCTACTAACAACTCTTATCATTTTTCATTGCTGAAGGGGTTGCCCCTCCTACCTGAAAATCCTGGCTCCACCTCTGAGTGTGTGACAGGGTCAAGTTTGTATTTGCAGTAAAGTCTAACTCTATTGAGCACGGAGGTTATATAAAAACAGTAGTTTATTTTTGTTTTCCTCTGCTACTCTTTCTAAGAATGTAGTCGGGAAGTTATCACAGCACACGTGCAGCTGAAGTCGGAACTGTTCATCCCAGCATTCAAGGACATCTGTGCCTGGCTTCACACCTCTAAGTTGTGATTGAACATTAATTTAGGCATTTCTGCATAACAAAAATAGTATTATTTTCCAAACCCCTTTGCTATGTCACCTGAATTTAGCTTTCATAAATATTCATTTTGAAGCCAGACAGCCGAAATTGTGTGCTCGGAGTTTTGGGTTAACATTCATTTTGAAGATACGAGCGCTTCCAGGCACGTTTATGACATTTGCCCTCATTGCGTGCCATAACAGCTCGTGTGATGAATTTGGGACACTTTTTCACTATAACATGAATATATGAATAAGTATAGACGTGTTCGTCACGTGTGACTGTATATATGCATTCCTCTGTGCATCGATACTGACATGTAGATGGTGTGGATATTATTTTTTTCTCTCTGCAGCTGTCGCTTCCTCTGCAGAATTTTACTGATGGAGCAAAGGCACTCGGTGCAGCTCGGTGCAAAAAGGCATCAATGCGACCGGTGTCCATACAGCACAAATCGTACTGAACATTTGACATTGCACCAGAGAACTCACACAGGGGAGAAACCCTTCAAGTGCAGTGTGTGTGGGAAGGCGTTTTCACGTTCATCTACTCTTGTAACACACCAGAGAACACACACGGGAGAGAAAACCTTCAAGTGCAGTGTGTGTGGGAAGGCGTTTTCACAGTCACCAAATCTTCAAAGACACCAGAGAAGACACACGGGAGAGAAACCCTTCAAGTGCGGGGTGTGTGGAAAGGCGTTTGCACAGTCACCACATCTTCATGTACACCAGAGAACTCACACAGGAGATAAACCCTTCAAGTGCAGTGTGTGTGGGAAGGCCTTTTCAGTTTCATCTGCTCTTGTAACACACCAGAGAACACACACGGGAGAGAAACCCTTCAAGTGCAGTGTATGTGGGAAGGCGTTTGCACATTCATCTACTCTTGTAAAACACCAGAGAACACACACGGGAGAAAAACCCTTCAAGTGCGGGGTGTGTGGGAAGGCATTTGCACAGTCACCACATCTTCATGTACACCAGAGAACTCATACAGGAGATAAACCCTTCAAGTGCAGTGTGTGTGGGAAGGCGTTTTCAGTTTCATCTGCTCTTGTAACACACCAGAGAACACACACGGGAGAGAAACCCTTCAAGTGCAGCGTGTGTGGGAAGGTGTTTGCACATTCATCTTCTCTTGTAACACCCCAGAGAACACACACAGGAGAGAAACCCTTCAAGTGCAGTGTGTGTGGGAAGGCGTTTTCACAGTCATCAACTCTTCATGGACACCAGACAACACATAAGCATCAGAAGATCAACAAGGAGTGGAGTCTGAAATCAGCTTGTGAAAGTCAAAGTGCCGCAATGAGCCCATCCCTCATGAAACAAGAACCGGAAGAAAATCCCAGCTTGGACACTTTTAAAGATATCGAGGTGAAATATGAAGAGGTGAAGGTGAAATGTGAAGAAGTGATGGTGAAAAGTGAAGAAGTGATGGTGAAGAGCGAAGAAGTGAAGGTGAAATGTGAAGATGAAGATTCAACTCCACAATGGGACCTTCACATCGATGGAGGCTCATGCCCGAACCGCTCCTGGGCCTCCCTTTCGCCAACCCGTGTGCTCAAACATGCGCCCCCCCGTCTCGAGAGAAGGGGCTGGCAATTTCAAATGAACATCGTCCAGACAAATCGCAGCGGCGTACGCAGCCGCTGCAAGAAAACCTGACAGTTTTTTCAGCTCTCCTTTAACGAACACGTGGAAGTTATCGAACAGTGACATTTTATCTTTCCAAACATCGCCAGGCCCCTCGGTGGACATCGACGGCGAATCGCCCCGCCAGCCGTCCCGAGTTCTCGCCGCCGTCCGTCGTCGGCCTCGGCCTGGCGGAGAATCTCGGCGCCGCGGGCGCCCTCCTCGACTCCGGCTCTCCCTGCCGCGGCGCCGAGTCGCCCTCTGGCCTCCGCTCGAGCCGGCGCCCCGAGCGCGAGCCGGGGCCGCCCCTCCCAGCCGGCGCTCGCATCGGACGGCGGCGCTCGCACGCGCGAGAGACGAGAGATGCCCCGTTTACCGTGCGAGCGGTGAATGGGGCACACTTAGCTTGGCGCGAGCGCCGGAGGCCACTGCGCTAGTAGTCCGGCTTCGGCCGTGCCCTCCCCGCGGTCGAGCACGCGGCCCGAGGTCCGGCCGCCGGCCTCGCGTTTCTGTTTGTCGTCGTTCAATTTCCGCTCGGCACGTGCGCCGGTCCGGTTCCCGTTCACTTTAAGATATTTTCATGTTTTTTTTTTATGTTCGTTGCGGTTGTACCCGATTAACAAAAATAAATGAAACTAAAACAAAATCAATCGTGCGCTGCGCATGGTGCTGGTTAGAGCCCTGCGAGTCTCGATATGAGGGGGCGGCGGTGGTGGTGGTTCTGTAACCGCGAGCGTGGTTCGCTCACCGAGCGTGGTTCCATTACGACGCGAGGGCCTCTAGCACCACGGTCCAATCGGTGTCGGCGCGCGGCTCACGTCGACGTGGTGACGTCGCCACGGGCAGCTCCATCGCCGTGGTTTTACGTTGCCGCGGTTACGTCGCACCGCCGTGGCGGCTACGTCACCGCGAGCGGTTCCGCCTGGCTCTGTGACGGCAAGCGGTTCTGCCTGGCTCTGTGACGGCAAGCAGTTCCGCCCGGCTCTGTGACGGCAAGCGGTTCTGCCTGGCTCTGTGACGGCAAGCAGTTCCGCCCGGCTCTGTGACGGCAAGCGGCTCCGTCTCCGCGGGGCGCGGTTGCTGCCACGGCCGGCTCACCGCCCCACCCACCGCTCCGCCCCCACCCCCCCCCCCCGCCATGCCCCCTGGCACGGCAGCTCTGCTGAGCCGGCGCCCAGTGCTGAACCCAAATAGGCACTTAAATAAATGTTGTACTCGGCAAGTTAACAGCTACAGAGGCCAAGCTCAAATCAACATGGTTATTATTATTTTAATATATATAAAGCTTATATTTCCACAGCGCTGAAAACGGGGCAGGAGGCCTCATTGCTTGCTGCCCCAACTCCACCGCCTAAAAGTGATTAGTCGTGATTAGAGTCGTGATTAGAGTCGTGATTAGTCGTGATTAGTCGTGATTATAGTCGTGATTAGTCGTGATTAGTTGAACCATTCAAAACGCAGGCGGTGGCACACCGCAAGGTTGCACATCACCGCCTGCTGGCAACCACGTCTGTCGGTAGAGCCCCGACACCCCCCCCTCCCACCCCCCGGCTGACGTGATTGGTTGGTACAGTCCCATAAACTCATTATCCATGCGACTATACTGGCAGGGGCGGGGGTGGGGTAAGAGGAGAGACGTCATTGTCTCGGCCAACGATGGTTCATGAGGCTGGAGTTGTGGAGTACGTGTGTGTGTGTTTGGAAGTAACCTGTACAGAGAACTCAGGTGAGACCCGTTGTTCTTGTGATACAGGTCAAAGGGTACTTTTGTGTTTCACGAAGCGTCTGCCTCTGGAGCAACTCATCGTCTTTGAAATAGGAAGCACGCTCGGATCATTCATCAGTTACAAGGCATACCACTTACAAGCTACACGTATAGGAGGAGGTACATTCTCTACAACACAAATTGTAGTTTTGTCTTGCGTGTTGACGTAGATTTTGTCTAACTAGGGCTAGAAATAGTCCTTGCTGATTCACGTCTGGATGTTCGTTACCTATCGATTGAAGCAAACCCCACTGCTGTTGTTGAGACGCTGTGCACCATTTAAGCCACCCGGCGCTCCGCTCGTTGTTGTGAGCATCGCTCCTCCGCCCTCCGTTGGAGGGCGACCGCCTCCAACTGCCCAATAGCGTCCTTCACGAGCCTCCTCCACAGAGGCCGATCTTGACACCGCTGGTACCAGTCATCGGCAAGTCCACTCAGCTCCACGTCCTCCTGTACCACATCACTCCATCTCTTCTGTAGCCCGTGCCGCGCCCGCTTTGCCCCCTCAATCCGGCCGAACAAAAGCTGTTTCGGCATGCGGTGGCTGGGCATGCGGGCTACATGACCCAGCCATCGCAGCCTTGCCCGCCGGAGCTCACCGATGGGATCTTGCCCAGATCTTTCAAGGATTTGTGAGCTCCTCACACAATCCAGTCTGGTTAAACCCAGGATGGATCGTAGGCAGGCCAGCCTAAATGTTTCTAACCGGCGAAGATGTTCCATTAGGGGGGTCCACGTTTCGCAAGCGTAGAGAAGGGAGGGAATGACCGTGGCCGAGAAGAGGAGAGACGTCATTGTCTCGGCCAACGATGGTTCATGAGGCTGGAGTTGTGGAGTACGTGTGTGTGTGTTTGGAAGTAACCTGTACAGAGAACTCAGGTGAGACCCGTTGTTCTTGTGATACAGGTCAAAGGGTACTTTTGTGTTTCACGAAGCGTCTGCCTCTGGAGCAACTCATCGTCTTTGAAATAGGAAGCACGCTCGGATCATTCATCAGTTACAAGGCATACCACTTACAAGCTACACGTATAGGAGGAGGTACATTCTCTACAACACAAATTGTAGTTTTGTCTTGCGTGTTGACGTAGATTTTGTCTAACTAGGGCTAGAAATAGTCCTTGCTGATTCACGTCTGGATGTTCGTTACCTATCGATTGAAGCAAACCCCACTGCTGTTGTTGAGACGCTGTGCACCATTTAAGCCACCCGGCGCTCCGCTCGTTGTTGTGAGCATCGCTCCTCCGCCCTCCGTTGGAGGGCGACCGCCTCCAACTGCCCAATAGCGTCCTTCACGAGCCTCCTCCACAGAGGCCGATCTTGACACCGCTGGTACCAGTCATCGGCAAGTCCACTCAGCTCCACGTCCTCCTGTACCACATCACTCCATCTCTTCTCTAGCCCGTGCCGCGCCCGCTTTGCCCCCTCAATCCGGCCGAACAAAAGCTGTTTCGGCATGCGGTGGCTGGGCATGCGGGCTACATGACCCAGCCATCGCAGCCTTGCCCGCCGGAGCTCACCGATGGGATCTTGCCCAGATCTTTCAAGGATTTGTGAGCTCCTCACACAATCCAGTCTGGTTAAACCCAGGATGGATCGTAGGCAGGCCAGCCTAAATGTTTCTAACCGGCGAAGATGTTCCATTAGGGGGGTCCACGTTTCGCAAGCGTAGAGAAGGGAGGGAATGACCGTGGCCGAGAAGATCTGAAGCTTAGTGCGGAGCGACAGACCAGGTAGCTACCACACAGCGTTACGCAACTGATGAAATATATTGCCGCTCGACTGATTCGGAGTGAGACCTCTGCTGTAAAACTGGAGCCAGTCATAAGCACACTGCCCAGGTGTGGGAAACTCTCCACTCTCTCCACAACTGCCCCATCACCGATCGGGAGTTGTGGGGGTGGAGTGTCCGATGGTACAAAATACCCAGGCAGGTGCTTAGTTTTGGTGGGGCTGATGGTAAGGCCCCACCTCTTAGTGGCACGCTCCAGTCTCAGCAGCAGCGTCTCCAACTGCTCCTCTGAATGAGCAGCTATTACCATATCATCAGCATACATAACGTGGTTGAGCAATAAGGAGCCATCCCTTGACCGCACCCGGGCGTCGATCAGCCTCCCATTATATCTGTACCATACGGAGATTCCCCCGGTACAGCTATTGAAGGCTTCACGAACTACGTGGTCAAAATAGATGTTAAATAATGTGGGAGGCAGAGGACATCCCTGTCGCACCCCAAGGTGTACAGGGAATGGCTCTGACTCCCGGCCACGTAGTTTTACCCGGGCCCGCTCACCATCATGAAGGTCCTTAATGATCGTGAGCAGAGGGTCAGGTACTCCAAAAACACGAAGAACGACCCAAAGCCCAGGCTTACTGATGGTATCACAGGCCTTGACAAGGTCAATAAGGCAAAGATTTAGGTCTTGTTGGAATTCCCTACACCTCTGCTGTAGCAGACGGACAGAAAATATGGCATCTGTGCAGGACCGCCCTATCCTGAAACCGCATTGGGGCTCTGCAAGCCTCTCCTCAGCGTGCCTGGCAAGGCGATGCTGAATAATCCTTGCCAGGACCTTTCCCGGCACACTGAGGAGTGAGATGCCCCTGTAGTTGTTACAGTCTGTGCGGTCCCCCTTCTTATAAAGTGGGACCACCAGGGCATCCTCCCAATCCTGCGGAACCCGTCCAGTGGTCCAGACTGTTGTTATGATGTCATATAGGGCAGTCTGTGCACAAACGCCACCCTCCCTCAGCATTTCACTTGGGAGATCATCTCTGCCCGCTGCCTTTCCTGGTCTCAGACTCCGGATCGCCTTCAGTACTTCCTCA